GTGGCAGGGAAATGCTCGCTGTGTGCCAGCTGGAGGAGCGGGGGCCCTGCCGCGCGTGCGTGTGTGCACACGTGAGGGTGCACGTGCGTGTGTGCGTGTGCACACGTGTCTGGTGGCAGGGAAATGCTGTGTGCCAGCTGGAGGAGCGGGGGCCGTGCCACGCGTGCGTGTGTGCACAGGTGAGGGTGTGCGTGTGCACGCGTGTCTGGTGGCAGGGAAATGCTCGCTGTGTGCCAGCTGGAGGAGCGGTGGCCCTGCCGCGCGTGCGTGTGTGCACACGTGAGGGTGCACGTGCGTGTGTGCGTGTGTACACGTGTCTGGTGTCAGCCAGGAGGCGCTCTTCCCAGCTGGTCTGCGTGTGCGTGTCAGGGCTCGGAGCTGGCTGGCGTTGCGCGGGCTTGTTGTCCAGTCTTAGTTGCATTGCCCTCTCTTGGACAGGGACGGCGTCCCCCCGTACAGGATCCGCAAGCAGCACCGGCGGGAGGTGCAGGAGAGCATGCAGGTGAACGGGCGGGTGCCTCTGCCTCACATCCCCGTAAGTAGCCCCACTGCACACGCGCCCCCTCGTCGCCCTGCCTGTCCCTGGACGACTGGGGAAGGTGTCCCCAGGCTTCCTGGAACGTGCTTGCTCCGGCATAAGTGTCCAGCGTCAGGGATGCTGGGCCTTGTGTTCCAGGTGAAGTTTGGGGCCTGGCTGACATAGTCCCCTCTGGGAAGGTTGTCCTTGCTGCATGATAAGGGGACTTGCTCTCTGAGCCCTCCACCCCGGGCATCTCCCCCTCGTCTTCCTCGAGGTGAGGAGGCTGCACTTGGTCCCTGGCACAGTGGCCAGCCTGTCACCACATGCTGGCTGTACAGTGAGGTGCTGCTGAGACACCTGGGGTGCCCTGTGCTCCCTGCACTGCTGCCCTTGTGAATGTAGCTTCATTTAGGGTGAAGTTGGGGGGTCAGTCTCTGTGACCGAAGCGGGGAGTTACCACATGGGTGTGCAGTAGACCCACTTGGGTAAGGACGGAAGCGGGGCCGCCTTCTGCAGACAGGCCTTGGTGACGGCTCTCTGATCTGATGTGCCATGAACAGGAATGGCTGTCGGGTCAGGAGCCCCACGTGTCCACGGGCAGCTTGGAAGCTGCTTGCAGTGCGAGTGTTGGGGACTCTGGGGCTGTGCACACACTTGTTGGGGTTCTGCGTCAGGGCCACTGAGCGCCTGTGCCAGCACCCTAACTTCAGAGGCAGCTACCCGTTTACCATTGGGGCTTGCTCAGCTGTGCATGTGTGAACACGTGTGTGCGCTTACACGGGGGTGCACATGTAAGACCCTAATGGCACACAGTGTGGGTGCAGAGTGAGGAGTCTGGGTGAAGGGTGGACAGAGCACTGTGTGCATTCTTGCAAATGTTTTGAAGTGAAGTGATTTCAAGATGAAGCTGCCCCAGACAGCAGCTGCCCCGCACACCACCGCGCGTGTCAGGCTTCCAGCCGTTCAGAACTGAAAGTCACATCCTTCTCCATATTGTTCCTGTCTCCCAGATTGGGAGGTCATCCCCAAAAGGGATGCCTCAGTCCAGTCATGGTCCGGCCGCACGTTATGGGGGGCCAATACCTAGTGTGCAGGGGCCTGCATGAGCACAACCTGCCCTGTGTTGGGTGTGTCCCCACGAGGGGGCCTGGGCCCCTGGTCTCCATGTTGTGTCCTGATCCCAGGGACTGTCCATCAGGCTGCAGGCCCTGCCCAGGTCCCTGTCCAGGGAACCTCTAGGTGGTGTGACCAGGGCACCATCCAGCCATGCAGCCCCAGTGGCCTCTGGGCTCAGCTCCTGGAGGTCAAGTGTCCTGCCCTGGGACCATCCCAGGCCAGCCTTGTTCACGAGGTGCTGACAAGAGAGGGTTCCCATGATAAAAAAATGGGGAGCTGTTCAAGGGGAGAAGCCAGCAGTCACCTCAAAGTGAAACTGTATTCCAGGGGCTATTCCCTCCACCAACAAGGCATCTGATGACCACCAAGCATGTGCATCCCCCCATGGGAGGGTGGGCATGGGGTGGACAAGTGGGGCAGGTGGGCAGCCCTGCTGACCGGCGTGTGCCCCCAGCGCACTTACCGGATGCCAAAGGAGGTCCGTGTGGAGCCACACAAGTTCGCCGCGGAGCTCATCCACCGCCTGGAGGCTGTGCAGCGCACGCGAGAGGCTGAGGAACAGCTGGAGGAGCGGCTGCGGCGGGTGCGGATGGTGAGTGAGGGAGTCTGCGGGAGAGTGGGTGTCTGTGAGGAGTGAGGGAGTCTGTGGGAGAGTGGGTGTCTGTGGGAGAGTGGGTGTCTGTGGGGAGAGTGGGTGTCTG